CCCGCCTGCCTTCCCCCCGGGCAGCTCGCCGGGAAGGGACACTCGCCACGGAGACATCGCTTCCCGTCCACCGGTGATCTCCTGCCATGCCTTTTCTCCAGCCGAGCTCTCCTTTGTGCCTGGAGGCGATCACTACCGGACAGAAATAACACTGCACCAGTGGGCGTGTGATTTTTTCCGGATAGGAAACATGTTTTTGTAACGATGATATATTATAACGTTTAATTTTTCTTATTTTGAGGCGTAGAATACTACGACCCCTATCCCATTAATCCGAAAGTACAAACTCCATTATCTCCATTAGGAATTCCACAGCGTTTTGTAGCAGTCGGGCTGGAATGACTTTTCCCTCACCATTTCTGCAGATCAAAAGGGCATCATACAGCCACATTCATTCCCCACATCCCGACCAAGAGAACAAATCAGTAATGAAGATCGCCCCTGAAATGGAGACCGGGGATTTCCTGCATTGGCTTTTCTCTAAACCCGTATTATCTTGAACCGTGCGAGTTTCTACCTCACAGGTAAAATGACTTGTTAATGGCCATAGACGTAAACTAAAACATTTTTTTTTACATTGAAATGTTGGTACGTCTCCAGAGACAGCTCCTACTAGAAAAGGAAAGTTGAAGGAATTTAACGTGGCGTTTCCCTTTGTAAGTGTAGGACGGCAGAAGACAAATACAGCTGATCACCCTGATCTATACGGGCCATTTCTAAATATGCAAATGAACTTTATTCAAGTGCCTAATTGCTGTCATTTTGAGTACTTCACTGTCGTTTTGCATATGTCCTCAGGATGGGTAGAGCCCTTCCCTTGCAAACAGGCAGACACAACGTCTGCTGCAAAACGTGTCTGAGAGAACGAATTCCTCAGATTAGCATTCCCCTGTCAAGGGCCTCAAGCAGGTTACAGCCCCTCTCGTTGGGAAAAGGGGAAAGGAAAAGAAGTCAGGCTTTTAATACGAAATGTGATTTTTTTTTTTTCTGATCACATTTTACACCTTCACCTCTGAATGACAGATCAGGAAGGTAAAAAAGAGGGAACGACCACGCAGCATGGAAGAAAACAATGAGAAATAACACCACTAAGACCTCGAAAAAGTCATCCCTGGACAAAATTTATCCTTCCCGTTCATGCAGTCATTGCTGCATCTGCTTTCCTGCAAAAGACGAGAGGGATCACGGCAGAAAAAGGGGGAATATTCACTAGGGAGGAACAATCTGTAACAGCGGTTTCAGAAAAAGCCACCAGGAAGGAAAAACCTCTAAAACCAAACGTCCACCACATTTTCCCGACTCATTTTCCGTCATACAGAATCCTTAAATTGCGGTGTTCATCATTACCGACTCATTCGAGACTCATAGTCAAAACTTCTCAGCTGAAGCTGAACCTGTAACCACCGAGGAAACAAGATGTGCTGCCGCTTGATACCTGCTGTGAGGGGAAGGTGGATACGCCGTTCCTTCCTTCCCGCAAACACGGAGCAGCACTCCCCAACCTTCCCACTACTGCTACCATTTCTGCCATCTCGGTAAGAAGCACTCCACGAACAGATGGGCGACACTTTCTTCTTTCAGTAGGGATGAAGAAAATGTTCCTTTTCCGTTCTAGGAGCTGCAAGAATGTATCCATTGGGAGTCCAATATCAAAAAAGCATTAACCAACGGGTTTGTGTACAGCTATCAACCACGTTCAAGCACACATAGTCAGGAAAAAAATAATAGAAAGGTAACATCTCCAACACCAACTGTCAAAAACAATCCCGTCAGGCAGAATCAGCAGATCTCACTCTACACAGTAAGGGTTCACCACCTTCACAATTACTACCTCATACGAGATAACGCAAGAGATGCAGACGAATCCTCTCGGGTGAACGTCAACCTCTGAGACCCCATAAACC